CTCTCACTTATATTATATCACACACAATGAAAGGAAAAAGACAAAAAGAAGTCGCTTCATCCATTTATCTGGAAACATTAATGGATGGAACTCCTTAAGTGAGCCACTTAAATAAATAATCGCTGGATTTTGTGGCTGAAGCGAAGAAGAAAGAAAAAGAACAAGGAATCACGAAAAGAAGGATCGTCATGGGGGATCCCGACACTGGCTCAGGTGCGAATGGAACGAAGAGGTAAGAACTTATCAAACTGCTTCCAAACCAAAACTCAGCTTTGGTTTCCTGAAAAGCAGCAGCATGTAAAGGCTCTGAATTCATCATTCTGGGACGCATTAGTCACTATTCTTTAGCTTTCATTCATATTTGATTCCATTTTTTGTGATGAAAAAAGTAACAAGATCAGTATGAAAAAGTTTAACTGATTAAACTTAAATGTTAGCGTTCGGGGAGAAGCTGACTTATGCGATAATATAAGCTATAAATTTTCTCTACTTGAATACTGGATACCTGACAGACATAAAACTCATTAATTGAAGTCACTTTCAACTTATTTAAAAGAGAGAAACAGTTTTGGTGTCAATGAATGATTAGAAAACAAAACAAACGAAAACTAACATTTTTAAAGATGTTATTTAACGTCTTTTGCGTGTTTTATTGTTGAAGGTGTGTTAGAGCTATTGTTTTGAAGGTGTGTTAGAGCTATTGTTCTGCCTGGTAAGTTAGACAAAGTTGACTGTCCTGTTCTGAGCAGGAAATGACTGATGATTAATGACCAATGACTTGCATCTAACTGATTTTTCATAGCAAGTTTGTTGCTACACATCAGTATAACAAAACATAGTGAACACAATGGGTAGACATTCCCTGAACTCCAATGCTGCGCATACGGGGTCTTTACTATCCACTTGGCTTGACTGAAGTACAATGGAAAACTTTTAGGGAATCAGAATTACAGATATGAGCAGTATTACTTGAGAAAAGAAAATGAGTCAAACTGGTGTGGCTCTACTCAGGCACGTGGGGGGGGGGCAGAGGGGCTTGAGCACCCGCCCCTTTCCTGATGGGTGCCCAAAGTGCCCTTTTGTTGAGGCAACTTTTTTAAA